TGAGGGCAGTAGGCAGTGGAAAAATCCGTGAAAACCCTTTCCAGGAAAACATTCCTACAGATCACTGTGTAAGTACTTAAAGGTTGGTGTAAAAAAATAGATCCATACATTTCTTAATGAGCTTGAGCAAAGGAGCTGGAAAAGCCTCCCAGAAATCAGGAAACAGAGGCAGAGAGAGGGAAAGCAACTTGAGAAAGTTACACAGCAGGACAGTGATGATATTCAAGGAGCCAGGTCCTGCATCCACTGTCTACTCACCGCCCTACCTTGTACTGCTCCCTGGGGGCCACTGCACCCATGGAGGTGGGGAGAGCTCCATTATTCCCCTGCTACTGCTACCCCCGCGGACATTCATCACAAGCCGAATGTCATCCTCTGTTGACCTGCGGTTCCTCTCACCGATACCCGACTGACCCATCACAAAAGCAAACGTAGGGCCGTGTCGCAGCTTCTGCCTTTTTTAGTCATAGAAATTCAAGCAGAAGCAGAAGCATAATTTGTATTTACATCCGCCATGATTTAGAGAAGGTGAACTGGCGTAGTAGAAAGAGAAAGTTTGGGGATGGTTGAATGAGGGTTCCTGTCTTTGTTCAGCTATAACTTGGAAAAAAATCACCCAATCCTTGAGCCTCTTAAACCAGGATAATGATATTTTTCTGACAATTTCTGTAAGAACTAAATGGTATACTGTATGGAAAGTTTATCCTGACAGAGTTACTCAGTAATTTGAGGCCAGCAGTATATACAGCAGTATATAAGCAGTATATAACAATATGCAATAATTCCTTTGGTTGCAATGTTTTGAGGCAACATGCACTTTGAGCCAGAAGAAGTGATGGCTCCAGGAGCAGATACAGACTTAAAAAGAAGTACAACATGCATAGAACAAACACCCATGTCCTCAGTGGGCAGCAGTGCCCACCGTCCATCTTTGTTGCAGCTGGGTGAAGGATCTAGCTGAGTCTGGTACAGAACAGTCTAGAACCCACTTCATTGGAGGGCTTTACTTTCCTGCTCCCTAGTTTACTCCTTTTTAAAAATATGTGTAAGACCAATGCTTACCTCAAAGGAGCGTTTCCTGTATTAAACAGGATAACGTATGTAAAAGTTCTCTAAATGTAAGGTAGCGCTATTCATAATAAACAGATGGTACATGACTATTTGATGGATAAGATGGCACCTGAAGGTGTTGAAAGAGCAGTAAAAAGAGAATAACGTTGAGGAAGATGACTCTAGAAAGAATGTACTAATAAAATGGTTCCAGAAAATTACTAAAATCAAATCGTTGGAAAAGTATGACTGCGGAAGTCAGAAAGCCAACTACAGGGGTGTGTTCTCAAAAGTAGTCCACCTCGGGCTTCCCTGGTGGCGCAGTGGTTGAGAGTCTGCCTGCCGATGCAGGGGACGTGGGTTCGTGCCCCCGTCCGGGAAGATCCCACATGCCGTGGAGCAGCTGGGCCCGTGAGCCGTGGCCGCTGAGCCTGCGCATCCGGAGCCTGTGCTCTGCAAGGGGAGAGGCCACAATGGTGAGAGGCCCGCGTACTGAAAAAAAAAAAAAGAAAAAAACTAGTGCAGCTGTCTGCCTGGAGCTGGATGGAAGGGATCGTAGAGGATGGCACGTGATGGGCTCCTCCCCCTTAACAGAGCAACTGGAAGATTCCCACATTGCCAGACCGACTTAGGGTGCCAGCATAAATTGGTGTTGGGAGGCTACATGGAGAACTGACGTGAAGTGTGGGAAGGCCCTGGTTTTCCCAGACCATGTCCCTACAGCACCACACAGCAGAGAGAAAGTCGTCAGAAAGTCCCCCACCAGGCAGATCATGGTTTGGTTTTGTGTTTTGCAGGACAGTTTTTTGTTTGTTTTAAGATGCAAGCGTAGGTTAATCTCTTGGGAGGAGAGCAGTAAGAGAGGTCTAATATTTGGGGATGTTTTGTATTCTTCAAGAGGTGGTCGGTGAGCCGCAAGAGGGGTCGCAGGAGAGGCACGTAAAAACAAAGTTCATCGTTACTCATGGGCCCTGGAGAGACAGAGTCACCGCAAGCCACGGGGGAAACAGACAGCAGGGAACATCAAGGGAGGGGCTTAGCCAAGCAGGTGGGGAGCTGAGAGAGAGAGTGAGGGCCATGGATCAGTGCCTTTATGGGGGTCAGGGTGGAGTGCCCCAGTAAAAGGCATGAGTGGACTTTACTTGTGTATACTAGGTCACAGTCAGGGGAGGGCAAGAAGGGGACCTTGTGGCAAGGACCAGCCTTATCACACTGGTGCACCTGGTCACCTGAGCGGGGTGCTCACAGCGTGTTTGTGGGGATATTGGGGTAGCAGGAAAATATGAAGTGGTAACATTTACGATGCAGGGGGTCAGTGATTTAATCAACATTGTGGTTCTACAGCAAGAGCAGTGTGCACAGCCTCCACTGAAACATCCAAGTTAGAGGACAGAAGAGGTGAGCCTGAAATGAAAAGTCCTTCCCAGGTTAAACTGCATTGTGGGCAGATTATGGGAAAGTTGTAGAGAAATCTGGAACCAAAGATATCCTTAGGAAATGTTTTTCTTTTACACCTTTGTTTGGTCTAAGAGGCATCAAAACTGAGAATTTTTGTATATGAATTATAGTAGTGATACAGGTGGCTCAGTTCACAATATGCATTCACATACACATCTGCACATACCCATCCCCGACACACACACACACACACACACACCCCACACATCCGAGCAGTGGGTCTTTTGCTTACTGATGAATCCCTAAGGGACTGCTACAGCACTTGGCACAGAGCTGTGCTCAATACATACTCAGAAAACTCATGGAATAAGTTAATAGATGAATGAATGAATGGGAGAAAGAGACACAGAGGGAAGGAGGCAAAGACAGAGAGAGACACACACACAGAGAGAGAAATGTTAATCACTGACTCTAGAACTAGGAGTCAGAGGCGTGGGACATGAGCCAAGCTTCCCCTTCAATGGGTCTTTAGTTTGGCTCAAGAGGAAACTTCAATTCTTTGGAGAGAGGGTGATGTGTATGTATGAAAGGAGCAACCTGGAGTCAGCATGACCTTAAACTAGCGACTCCAAGTAAAATCAAAAGGCTACAGAGCCAAAATGTCTATAACATCTTTGTGATGCATTCAATTTTCCTTTAAAAAAAAAAAAAAAGCTCTCTTTTGCAAAACCTACATGTAACAAATGTACCAAGAAATCTGCCTGTGGAGCTATGGAATGTTGCATGTGGTTTTAAGCAAGTCGTTTTATGTCCCTATGACACAATTTAGCCATCTGTAAAATACAGTAAAATCCCCCACTCACACGCCTTACGCATATCCTTGAAATGTTGAGAAACGCAGGCAGTAGCTCTGAAGAAAACGTGCATTGGGAGAAACCTGCAGGACTGTCACTGGGCTACACGTGGTAATAAGGGGCTTTCTCATCATAGACACAATCCAGGTATGCCAGTTAGTGGGCTGAAGCCACCTCTCCTCCGAGGAATATTTTAATGAGATAAACAAAAACCACCACTAACTCATCATTAAATCGGGGGCCCACCTATTAACCCCAAATGAGCTAAATGCCAATAACAAGGGGAGTGGGAAGTGTAGCTCGTTGGTAAGGTCTGTGACTGTGAGTCAGAAGACCTGGGTTTAAGTCCAAGTTGTGTCTCTTAGAAGTTGTATGATCCTGGTCAAGTTAATCTCACTTCCCAGTTAATCTGACAAGCACAGCGCATCACATACTAGGCCGTTAATGAATGAGAAAATGAAGGGTAGCAGATCAAAGAAGACACTGCATGTGCATTTCTCTGTAACACTTAAAGCACCACATAAATGTATGATTATTACGATTACTAATAATGGGCATCCCATAACTTGATTTGCATCCTTGAAGATGGATTGATTGTTTTAAGAGGGCCATGTGGGCAGGCATTGAAATTTAACTTGGGGTGCAAGTTGGCTTTTCCTGTTATGCAGATCTGCCCAGCTAGGAGCTCTAGCAATTGAAGCCAAAGGGACAATTGCTTGGAGTCCTTCTGTTGTATACCTGTGCGTGTGTCTGTGTGTGAGATGAGTCTGACGTGGGGTTATCAATGGGACATAATGGTAGCACAACTCTTCCCACTGCTCAAGTACATTAAAAAATGAAATCTTTCTTCTTAATGCCTGCTTGGTTTTAACTTTTCCCCCAACCAACTCACTGAGCCAAAAGAAAGGCAGGCATTTTCCACCTTGCTGCCTAATTGGCAGTCTCACATTGGCCTCTCGCAACTTCTCACAAGTTTGGCCACAATGACTAGCCTTCTTCACGCCAAGCAACATCAGTGCTGTTAACACCAGGCAGCAACACAAGCAAAAAGTCTTCTTGTGGTTACAATGTGACTTCATTTCGCTGACATTTGAGCAAAGAAAACACCAGAGAAGTCTGGACAGTTTCTTTATGAGCAAACAGGAAGCAAAGCGAGAGCTGTGGCATGGTCTAGTTTAAGAAGAAGTTGGTGAGTTGCTGTGGATGCCTCGCTGATAGAATTTGCAGAGACCATAAGGATGTACACAAGGTAAAAATATCAACAGAGCGCGTGTGGGAGGGGGCGTGTGGTGTTGGTTGATGGGGGAAAGATAAAGCCTGCAAAATAACGTACCACCCTTTCAACACTTTCCCTCCATGTCTCACAGTCTCGATTTCCACAGCTTTCACTAATGTCTTTTATCCTAGTCTAATAAAAAGCTGTCAGGCGAAGCTTTTGTTGAAAATTACTGAACATGCACCCCTTTTGGAGATTGTGCCTGGGGACATGGATGCTCTCCACGCTTTGTCCACCGTCACTTTTTGGAGAGGCCTGTCTGTGAACTTATGAGGGTTTCGAATCTATCATCCACAAACCAGGAAGGGAAGGGACCAACTGCTTTCTGCTGGTTTGGAATTTCACATACAACTAACTCCATAATCCTGATAATTGTGTCTGCCACGAAGACAGGAAACCCAACTGATCAGGGGAAGCTGCTTAGCATGTCCATCTTTCTCCACGGAATCTGCCAGAGCCCCCCTGAGGTTGGTATAGGCTGTTCACCTGGGTCCCACGTTCTATCTTCTAGGGAGCCTCCTCTTTTCATGTTTTTTCCACCAACTAAGACTAAGGCCTGAGGACACTCTACTTCTTTGTTGCATTTTATCCTTTCTGAGCTTTTAACAGAACAAAATCCTGGAAACCATGCTTTTCTAGCATTCAGGGCTAACCCTCAACAAAATAAGAAGAGGTTTTCCATTACATGGCCTTCTCTGTGCTTATGGTTCCTAACTTCCCACAGGAGGGGCCAGATTGTCCACACTGCTTCCTCTCCCGCTTTAGTTAAGACCCTTTTATTCACACCAAGACAGGGTTTCTCCATCTCGGCACCATTGACATTTGGGGCTGGATAATTCTTGTTGTGGGAGGTTGCCCTGGGCACTGTGAGATGCTTAGCAACATCCCTGGCCTCAACCCCTTAGGTGCCAGAAGCACCTTCTCTTTCTATATAACAACGAAAAATATCTTCAGACTTTGACAAATGTCCCTTTGGAGACACCATCACCCTAGGTTGATAACTGTTGCCCTAAGAGGGACTTCAGCAACGATCCCTTCCCAGAGAATTGCCGATATGCTACAGAGACTGTCTAATAATGATGGAAGTTCAGGCATTCACCAGCTTAATGATCTTCTTGGTGGACCCTGAAGTCTCTTAATGAAGGCAGCCCCTTCCTGCTATTAAAGTAGCCCATATAGTCATTAGCTGGTTTATCAGAATTATATAATCGAGACCTGTAATAAACCAATCACAAGTTTTTGCCCCCAAGCAGTAGCAGTTTCAGGTGTAAAACCTCCTACTCATTGGACTGCTGAGCCAGTGCACTCCCTTAAGATTCTGGCATGACACTCAGCAAGGCAGACGGGACGCTCTCCATTCCTTAAATGATGTATTTTCAAGCTCAGAATATACAGCTATAAAACCCAGCACTTGGGAGCCAGTATCTGTATGCACAGTCTCACACAATTTACAGCCCTAAGCAGAAGGGGATGTCATCAACCGAGGCACATATTCCACACCTCATTTTCCTGTGGTAGGATTTACACTTTCTTGGAGAATGTTGAGTTGGCAACGAGTGTCAAAAGTAAAGCAACAAAGACCCTGGGCAGAGGCACAAACTATTCTTTAAGAGTAAAGCCCTATTCCTGTGTGGTTTGTGAATGCTTCAGCACATTTTGTGCAGTGTAAAATCATTTACCACAGTATGAGGGAGGGTTGCTTTAAATAGAGTGAGAAAAAATTACTATTGCAGTAGGGAAGCCGGCTAATGAGCGTTAGCTTGTGGCAGAGTCCTTTTGGCGATCTGGCAAACTCAGACCACTGACGGAAACTTAATATTAGATCTACCGATTGGGTTGGGTGACTCCAATCACAGCAAACCAGCGAGGTGAGCAGAGATCCTGCATCGAGGCACTCTTGTGGAGTTAAGTCAAAGATCCTAGGACTTCCGTGGTGGCGCAGTGGTTGAGAGTCCGCCTGCCGATGCAGGGGACACGGGTTCGTGCCCCGGTCCGGGAAGATCCCACATGCCGCGGAGCAGCTGGGCCCATGAGCCATGGCCGCTGGGCCTGCACGTCCGGAGCCTGTGCTCCGCAACGGGAGAGGCCACAACAGTGAGAGGCCCGTGTAATGCAAAAAAAAAAAAAAAAAAATTGCCTTCTAATGAAAATGAGGACTTTATCACAAATTTTTAAGGAGAATTAAATTTATATATTTGGCCAATTGTCTGTGTTAACAGAACATTTACAATCCATTCATCTGGAATTTTTAATTTCCAAGTCTATTAAATTTGTATAGCAAATCTCCTGATATTTACATTGGTTCCATTGCTAATGATGAAATTTAAAATGTTGAATGATGTGTCCTAAATCTTCAGAGGTTATTAATTTCCAATATGGATTTTAATTTTTTTAACTCAACAGTACCCACCACCACATTAATATCTGTAAAGGCTCATTTTTTCCCCCACTTTGAGGACAGCTCATAGAATCACGAAACTAATCTTGAACCTGAAGTGCAAAGGCACTCCATTCTTCTGGCAACGTGATCTTCCTTCTAAAAATAATTAACTCGTGGTACAATTTTTGCAAATCTATGGCTTTGGGATCAGTGCCTGGGCAACTGAGGTAGAGGCAGCACATTCTCTCTTGGCCATGTGAGCTGCATATTAACCATACAGACTGGAGTTTACAAGACCCAAACATGATGCCAAAGCCCAACGCTTCTTACCAAGAAGGAGAGAAGTACATCATGGAAGACGTAACATCATATGATGTTGCTTGAATTAAAAAAAAAAAAAAAAGTAATGTGTTATGTCTGAGAGGAAGTGGGTCTCTAATTTGAGTCTTTGAGGCACGACCATCAGACAGTCCTGCATGTACCCAGCACAGAGCACTATGCTTCCATTCGCTCTTCTCTCAGCAATCCAACTGTGTCAGAGCCTCAATGAATGCAAATGGAAGAAGGTTTGGTCCATAAAACTCCCTCTCAAAATTTCAACAAGTCATGTATTTAGGGCATTTTTTCTTTTGAAGTGTAATAACCAGCGTCATGAATTCTTAACTGGTTTGTGGGTGAGGTAGTCTGATCAACTTTGTTCTGAGCCTCTCAAATTTTCTTTGTTGCTCAAACATACCCTCCACTTTTGTTCACTACTATGTCATTAATATACTTTTCTCTCCATTAGTAATCTCCTTCCATGCTAACTCCTTGAGGGATCCCTGTCAGGATTGGAATCAAGCATCAGCTCCACCGGGAATCCATCCATAGCTTCCCAGACAGTGATTATGGCTCTCCCTCCTCTTGCCCCACCACATTGAACATATCTCTGTGACAATGCTTCCCATGTTGTGCTGTGATTGCCTGTGGACATTTTTGTCTCCCCCTTTGATCCACAAATTCTTCTGGGGCAGCACTGTGTCTTACCCACCTCTGTGTCTGCAGGGCCAGGAACATAGTGATCATCTATACATTTCTAATAAAAGGATGAATGAATGAGTGACAAATGAATGGGCATAATTATCTCACTGACTACTTTCTGCCTGAAGTTGACAAGACTTCCAGGAACATTGGTAAGATTTTTCCACCTGTTACATCAGAGGGCAACGGAAAGCACTCGGCTTTCTTTGTCTTGTGAAAAAAGGAGCATAATAAGGAGAAGGATCTCAGTCAGTTAAGAAATGTAATATCTTGGAGCAGGACCTTATGTCCCCACCTCCGCAACTGTAGTTCAACTCTTTTATTTTTCTAGTTTTAAAAAGTTATTATTTTTGGTAATTTTCCAGGAACACTTTGAATCAAGCATCACATATCAGAGAAATGATTATCTAACTACGGAGACGACAGGCAAATACCCTCAGAAGGTCACAAAAATGAAAACTCAAGGCAAATACTAGACATGGTGCCTCTTGATTTAAAGCAGCCTATTTCATGACAGTCCTGACCATTTTATAGATGTCATGGGAATAGTAGTAACTAAATTACAGTGCTCTCTCTTTGAGAGAATCTCAGGAAGATGATTTTGTATCAGACATGCATTTGGTTTTGCTTTTCTTGAAGACACAGTATATCATATAACCATCAGCTTTTCTTCTGCCATTGGCTCCTGTCAGGTTTGGAATCCAACAAGCAGCTCATTTCCAGCAAGTCTTTTGACTAACAATTTACACTTCTGTTTTGGTCTCAGTCCTGCCCAAATTTATCTTTCTACCCTTGTATTCCTTTTTGCTTTTTTACCTACTTCTAATGTATGTTATTAGTTTGTAGCATTTTTTATAAACTGCCATACATGTTTTGAAGTAATGGAGAAAGACCTTCAAGATGACGGAGGAGTAAGATGTGGAGATCACCTTCCTCCCACAAATACATCAGAAATACATCTACACGTGGAGCAATAGCTAGCCGGGAGGGAGTCCAGGAAAAAGTCTGGACCTTCCTAAGAGGCAAGAGACCATTGTTTCCTGGTGCGCGAGGAGAGGGGATTCAGAGCACCGCCTAACTGAGGTCCACAGAAGGGCTCGAGCTGCGGCTACCAGCGCGGACCCCAGAGACGGGCATGAAATGCTAAGGTTGCTGCTGCCGCCACCAAGAAGCCTGTGTGCAAGCACGGGTCACTCTCTACACCTCCCCTCCTGGGAGCCTGTGCAGCCCGCCACTGCCAGGGTCCTGTGATCCAAGGACAACTTCCCCGGGAGAACACACGGCACGCCGTGTTGCAACGTCATGCCGGCCTCTGCCGCCGCAGGCTCGACCCGCACTCCGTGCCCCTTCCTCCCCCCCGGCCTGAGTGAGCCAGAGCCCCTGAATCAGCGGCTCCTTTAACCCCGTCCTGTCTGAGCGAAGAACAGACGCCCTCAGGCGACCTACACGTAGAGGCGGGGCCAAATCCAAAGCTGAACCCCAGGAGCTGTGCAAACAAAGAAGAGAAAGGGAAATCTCTCCCAACAGCCTCAGGAGCAGCGGATTAAAGCTCCACAATCAACTTGATGTACCCTGCATCGGTGGAATACATGAATAGACAACGAATCATCCCAAATTGAGGTGGTGGACATTGGGGGCAACTGTAGACTTGGGGTTTGCTTTCTGCCTCTAATTTGTTTCTGGTTTTATGTTTATCTTAATTTAGTAAAGTTTATTATCATTGGTAGATTTGTTTATCGATTTGCTGCTCTCTTCCTTTTTATATATATATTTTTTTTCTTTTTCTCTTTTTGTGATGGTGTATATGTATGCTTCTTTGTCTGATTTTGTCTGTATAGCTTTGCTTTTACCATTTGTCCAAGGGTTCTGTCTTTTTTTTTTTCTTTCTTATTTTTAGTATGGTTCTTAGCACTTTTTATCATTGGTGGATTTGTTTTTTGATTTGGTTGCTCTCTTCTTTCTTTCTTCTTTTTTTATTACTTTTCAATTTTTAATAATTTTTTATTTTAATAACTTTTATTTTAACCTTCCTTCCTTCCTTCCTTTCTTTTCTTTCTTTCTTTCTTTCTTTCTTTTTTTCTCCCTTTTCTTCTGAGCCATGTGGCTGACAGGATCTTGGTGCTCCGGCCAGGTGTCAGGCCTGTGCCTCTGAGGTGGGATAGCCAAGTTCAGGACATTGGTCCACCAGAGATCTCCTGGCTCCACGTAATATCAAACAGCGAAAGCTCTCCTGGAGATCTCCATCTCAATGCTAAGACCCAGCTCCACTCAACGACCAGCAAGCTACAGTGCTGGATACCCTATGCTAAACAACTAGCAAGACAGGAACACAACCCCACCCATTAGCAGAGAGGCTGCCTAAAATCATAATAAGGTCACAGACACCCCAAAACACACCACCAGACGTGGTCCTGCCCACCAGAAAGACAAGATCCAGACTCATCCACCGGAACACAGGCACCAGTCCCCTCCACCAGGAAGCCTACACAACCCACTGAACCAACCTTAGCCATTGGGGTCAGACACCAAAAATGACAGGAACTACGAACCTGCAACCTGTGAAAAGGAGACCCCAAACACAGTAAGTTAAGCAAAATGAGAAGACAGAGAAACACACAGCAGATGAAGGAGCAAGGTAAAAACCCACCAGACCTAACGAATGAAGAGGAAATAGGCAGCCTACCTGAAAAAGAATTCAGAGAAATGACAGTAAAGGTGATCCAAAATCTTGGAAATAGAATGGAGAAAATACAAGAAACGTTTAACAAGTACCTAGAAGAACTAAAGAGCAAACAAACAATGATGAACAACACAATAAATGAAATTAAAAATTCTCTAGAAGGGATCAATAGCAGAATAACTGAGGCAGAAGAACGGATAAGTGACCTGGAAGATAAAATAGTGGAAATAACTACTGCAGAGCAGAATAATGAAAAAAGAATGAAAAGAATTGCAGACAGTCTCAGAGACCTCTGGGACAACATTAAACACACCAACATTTGAATTATAGGGGTCTCAGAAGAAGAGAAAAAGAAAGGGACTGAGAAAATATTTGAAGAGATTATAGTTGAAAACTTCCCTAATATGGAAAGGAAATAGTCAATCAAGTCCAGGAAGTGCAGAGAGTCCCATACAGGATAAATCCAAGGAGAAATATGCCAAGACACATATTAATCAAACTATCAAAAATTAAATACAAAGAAAACATATTAAAAGCTGCAAGGGAAAAATAACAACTAACATACAAGGGAATCCCCATAAGGTTAACAGGTGATCTTTCAGCAGAAATTCTGCAAGCCAGAAGGGAGTGGCAGGACATATTTAAAGTGATGGAAGGGAAAAACCTAGAACGATTACTTTACCCAGCAAGGATCTCATTCAGATTCCATGGAGAAATTAAAACCTTTACAGACAAGCAAAAGCTAAGAGAATTCAGCACCACCGAACCAGCTTTACAACAAATGCTAAAGGAACTTCTCTAGGCAGGAAACACAACAGAAGGAAAAGACCTACAATAACAAACCCAAAACAATTAAGAAAATGGTAATAGGAACATGCATATGGATAACTACCTTAAATGTAAATGGATTAAATGCTCCAACCAAAAGACATAGACTGGCTGAATGGATACAAAAACAAAACCTGTATATATGCTGTCTACAAGAGACCCACTTCAGACCTAGGGACACATACAGACTGAAAGTGAGGGGATGGAAAAAGATATTCCATGCAAATGGAAATCAAAAGAAAGCTGGAGTAGCAATTCTCATATCAGACAAAATAGACTTTAAAATAAATACTATTACAAGAGACAAAGAAGGACACTACATAACGATCAAGGGATCAATCCAAGAAGAAGATATAACAATTGTAAATATTTATGCACCCAACATAGGACTACCTCAATACATAAGGAAAATGCTAACAGCCATAAAAGAGGAAGTCGACTGTAACACAATCATAGTAGAGGACTTTAACACCCCACTTTCACCAATGGACAGATCATCCAAAATGAAAATAAATGAAGTAACGTAGCAGCAATATTAAATATTTATATAAAAACAGAAGCAATAATCAAAATATTTAAAAACTACTATGACAGGGTCATTGACCAGTCAGAGAGGTGCTATCCATTAACAAAAAGAAATGCCAACCTGGTGCAAGCAAGTTTTATCACCTTTGTTGGCAAATAAATTAAATAGCATAGGCTCAGGTGGAAGACAGAGCACTTGACTGTGATTCAGGGAACCGGGAAAAGCAGCATTAATGAGGATAAGAAGTACTGAAACAAAAGTCAAAAAGATCCGAGTTGGAAAGCTTGACTCTGCCTCTTATTCACTCTCTAAGTTTCAGGTTTCTCATATGCAGAAAAGTAAAAGAATACTTGCCTCGTTCATGGGGCTGGTAGAAAAAAAGAAGGCATATGAGTTTTCTGCACAAAATACGTTACTGTATTGAGGTGGAAATGCCGCACCTCATGTGATCATTTGGGCATTTCAGTGAAAATTTTCAAAGAGTCACACCATTTTCTTCCAGTTTTTTCATAGCAAGGAAACATGGTCACACATTATAAATGTCTCTACCTTGGTCTCCTTGGATAATCTTTCAGATTGCTACTGAAATTGTTGAGTTCCTCCATGGAGCAAAGTAGATACACAGGGCTGCCAGGAGCTACAACCCTGTGCACAGAAGCCTACTCTACAGCGGCCTTGGGATCAGGCCACATGGCCACAGGAGCAGCCAGAAAGGAGGAAAGGGTGGGTGAGGCCAAAATTCAAGCCAGGCATTTCAACTTCAGCCCTTAGCCGGTGAGGTCATTTTCCATTTATTCTTTGTTTCCACTAGATTCAATGTCTCAAAAATGTTGAACACACAAAATCTGAACCCATATGATGAGCCATCCAGGCCCATGCAATGGCACTTGCCATCCTGACAGGGTCATCTGGAGCTGGGATTATTGTGTGCGAGTCCAAGAATCAAGGCTGGCTTGAGATTATACTTTGTCCTCTACATCCATGAGCTGTTTGTCCTCAGGGAGAGTAGCCCCCGTCTCCAGAGAGATCACTCTATCATGTCTGTGGTGGCTCAGAAACTATCTGGCCTCCAGTCCCAGGTCTGACCTGGACTATCTGTGTGCCTTTGGACTTCAGTTTCTTGATATATCAGCTGGGAATAATAAGACTACCGAACTCAGAGCTGTAGCAAAGATTTAATGAGATCATTCACTAAAGCACTTAGCTGCTGCTCATAGAAGCTTCTACATGTGTAAAGTATAATTATTATCTGGGCTCCCACATGAGAATAATACAGTTTCAAACTTGTTAACATTTCAAAGCTGCTAATAGTTGTTCAGGCTTATTCCCACCTTCTCACAAAAATTCTTTGTTACATGCACCCCTCACACTTGTGTTTTCATACTTGCTCTACTTTAATTGCTCTGTTTCCTCTGTGTGGAACGCTGTGATGTTGTGACATTAATAAGAAATATACTTCATTCCCAGCTCCTGGCACAGAGCTTCCTAAACCCTAGGAATTTCCTGGGTTATAGGGGTGAGAGGAGTATCTTTTATTATTCATAAGTCGTTTTCAAACATACTATTTATACTATTGAGGTGATTTTTGGAAAGTTCCTAAGGATGAAGAGCTGGTTTCAAGGAAACCAACCACGTGATCAGAGGATTGTATCTTTCAGTCTCACCTCCCCCAACTTCCTCAGGCAAGGGGGAGGGTCTGGAAACTGGGTTCAATCACCACTGTATGGCCAATGAGTTAATCAATCATGCCTATGTAATGAAGCCTCCATAAATACCCTAAACAACAGGGTCTGGAGAGGTTTTGGCTTGGCGAACACATCGAGGTGCTTGGAGGGTGGTGAGCCCAGAGAGGGCGTGGAAGTTCCGAGTCCCTTCCCACCTTGTCCTATGCATCTCTTCCATCTGGTTGTTCCTGAGTTGTATCCTTTTGTAATAAACTGGTAATCTAGTAAGTA